GATTCTCAATCTCAAGATTTAAACTTTGTTCTTAATTAAATATTCATAATCTTTAAAGCTGTTATCATTCTTTGAGAAAGAATATAAGCCTCCAATTATTTTTGCAGCGTATTGATTTTCATTGTTTTACAATTAGATGCGATTCGACGCGCGTCGAGGGCGTCGGGAAGTGGCTTGAACTAACATCGATAGTGCTTAGAAAATAATGCACAATTACAACGAGCTTCGTGTTTAATGCCGCTGTTATCCGCGGTCTCGAACAGATACAACAACGAGCACGAAAAGGACAGCGAAAAATCAACCGACCTCCCGCGATTCCTCATCGTCGAATTAAGCCGCGCGATTAATTAATCTACGATCGCGAAGCCTCTCTCGTCGGCGCGTTCACGCACACAATATAATACGCATAGAATAGACGAACACGCAACGTACATACATATACATCTTACAATTCGTTATTCTCGCTAAGTGAGACAATTATTCGGTAGTGTACTGACGCGATTACATTGGCAGAGAAAAATATATAGCGCGGTTGGTTCATTCGGATGATGGTCCGACATCACAAGCAACAACGAGTGAGACTTCAATATGCCGAGTCGATGCTGATGCCATTTCGATCTCGCATCGACAGCATACGAAAAGGAAACGGGTCCCCGCGCTTGTCTACGCGCTGTTCACGCGCTCTGTAAACCCGTCTCCTTAATACATAGCGAACTATGTCCGAACAAGATCTGTCCTATCGAAGTAATAAGGACAACTGTCTTAAGATTCGCTTACGCAGACTGTTCGAAGGAAAATATATCGATAGTGAGACGATTATTCCGTCTACGAAGGAACTTGGAAGCGAACTTTTCCTTTTGGTCGACGACTCGATATTAAGAATCCGTGGCGAAGATTTATTCGTGATGAAACTTCGCAATTACAATATTGGATACAATATTTCGTTACATCGCCAAGGAAAAGTCGATTGCCAGAACACTCCAAGACTCCCTTCGCTAATACATCCCTTTTCCTCGACATCCCTTATTACATCTGCATATGCAACGCGTATCACATATACGAGAAACATGCGACGCAACACGTTTACGTTTGATAACATGTCGATTAATTAGCACCGATCGCGATTTTTTTTTCTTCCTCGGCGCCGTTGATTAAAACGACGCCAGGTGTAACGAATAACATGTCGAGACGCATCGACGAAGCGCCGCTTTTGCAGACAGGAAAATGTGAAAGCGACGCTAAATCGCGGCGAGCACGCAGTCACCGTCACGGAGAGCGAGCGCGTGACTTTCGCGCAATTCTTCATCACAATGTGTACAATCGGCATCAGCTGCCGACGATGCTAATACTTAACGAAACTAAATGCTACAGAGTCGACAAGAAGTAATTACAGGTATACCTTGGTCCGCTTGGCCGCGTCGCCGTGATTTCGCGTCGTTTCGACTATGTTCCACCGATGGGGAACAACATTCGCAAAGCAACGATCGCTTTTCCTCAATTGCTTTTGTTACGCTTAATAGAGTCCCGTTCTTATTCAACCGTTTAATACCGCGGTGCCACTTTGAAAAATTGAGGTCCGGGAAGATCCGTTTAAGAACAATTTAATCGACGAATTTCAAAAGTGACCGATATCTTCTATATACGACTGTAATTATTCATCGGTTGAACTCGGCGAGATTCTGTGGTCAGCAATATTTGAGTACTAAGTGGTTTCTACCCTCTTGGATAGATTATACGTTCCCTGCGCTGAGAAGCTAAAACTGACATTTCCGTGCTAAAAGTGAAATTCTTGATTCTGAAAAAGATTCTTACAGTGATAAATCAAATTTTATACCGATAGTATTATATAATAACGCCAATATATATACTGCACAACGCCCGAATGCCACTTTTTGTTTTAAAACGCTTCAAATCTGAAATATACACTTAGAAATTGCATTAACGACCAGAATCGATTTAGCACGTTTCTCAGTCAGTTTTTATCGCAGGCGAGTGTTCAAGAATTTACTTCGATGACGGCGTATCTAACGAAGATGATCGTCGTACAAATTCTTTCACATCGCTCTTGCTTGGTTTAATACCCTTTCAAATAATACGCGAGAGACTATCTCTCGTCGCGCACAATTCTTCGATCTCTCGCTGATCATGCATCACGCAATACAAATTGCAATGATGAACGTGATACTGTGCTTCGATGCTCTGAATCATTCACCATTACACGCTACGCTTTCTTTTCGATTTAACTCTCTATTGCCCTGTGCCACGTCACTAGTTTTATTCTCTTCTTTCATCGTGTTCCTTTCTTTATTAATAATTTTAATAACTTCAAGTTTCAACATGGAAACTTGGCGTTTCCAAGCTTTACGTTTCCAAAAGCACAGTTTTATCTTAATTTATTGCGCGACACCCTTTCCTCTGAATTCTGGGAGAGACAACTTGGGTGATAGAGAGCTAAAAGTCCCACGCATTCGGGACGGATGTGCATTCGAATGACCACCCCATGCTCGATGGCATTATATGCTTGCGCACGCTACAACTAGAACATTGTAAGATCCGTTCGTAACTATAAACGAATATCATATATAGCGACAAAATATATACGTGAGACCGTAAAAGCCCTTTGTGAAAGATTCCGGAAACCTTCAGGCTTGATTGCGCGACGGTACAAATTTCTGTTCTCGCTTACATAACTCGTTGCTTACATCTAACGCTGTTTGTGTAACTCTTACGTGTGATATCGATAGAGGAATGCGCGTGTCTGGCGATCCCGTTCCCGTCCTAATGGGCTAAGATCATTTGTTACGAACGGAACGCGATGATCGCAGACGTCGCGACGACAGGTACAAGTCAATCGGAAACGTAGTACGAGCCGTGTGTTTCGAAAAGAACGCAAGTCGCATTTTCAGTTCAGATAAGATCGGTCGACCTAATCGATAGACGATCTACGGAAACTTATAGACATATAATTACACTAAGTTCGTTTGTGCATCTTAGAATTAACAAGATCGTCGTTTTTTGAGAATTAAGTTAATAGTCTATCGAACACGCTCTTGGCAATTATCAAAACAAGACACGCACAACTCGTACAAGATCAAATCTGCTTCCGATCGATATACTATATGCAATACTTGGCGGTTTTCTCCCGGATCCGATTTTTTTCTCGACGATACGCACTGCCTGTCCGATCTCTTCCTCGCGACACAAACATCACGCTCATTCCCGTCGACTGGAATGGATTACATCATTACATGTACTCGTACTTGATTAAATTATGACGACGTTATTCGTGCCATGTCCGAAAGTATTGGAAAGCGCCGAAAACGAATCAACGAATGAACGAACGAGCGAGTGAACAAATCTACGTCGAACTGAATGCTCCCTTTCTTGTTCGTGCACGGATGTTTGTATTCGTATGCCGGCCCTCTCTTCGTTCTATCGCTTAAACTGTGTAAAATATATCTTTTTAGGAACTTATAATATTACTCGTGGCCGCCGACTGACCCGACTGACGGCGACTGTTTCGTTCGCGCGGGTTTCAACAAAATGCGTCTACGTGTCGCGTGTCCGTGTCAAAATCAAACTATATACATACATATACATACTCCGGCTATACCCCGATAATCTTGTGCGATCTTGCTTTCAGTCGACGATAACTTAACGCTCTTTTTTTTTTCCCTTTTCTCTCTTTCTTTATCATAATTTATCTAAATGCGCGCGCGCTTCGCCATCAGCGGCTGATTATAATCGACGGAGGAACGCTAGCCGCTGCAGCGTAAAGATTCTCTAGCTGGGGTGAGTCGAGAAGACCAACGTTGTTCGTTTAGAAGTCGACGGAGCGGTCGCGCGTGTCCCCGATCCTCGCTTCTCATCGTGGAATGTCGTAGACGGGGCAACAAGAAAAATTCTTCGCGCTGGCCGTGATTCCGCTTTAGAGCCATGGTACTTGTACTTGTACGTCCTTAAACGACGAGGATCATGCGGGAAATATACACTACGC